AAAAGTTCTATACAGGTGTTACATAGAAGCCTTTTTTAAACTTGCAAATAATGTACTTTAAAACTTTATCATAACAAATTGCAAAAATTGCAATTAATTTAAATTTAATTATTGTTTATAACAATTTTACTTGATTGTAATTGTATAATAATTTAATTGCAATTAAATTTTCGGTATCTCTGGTGATAGCTATAAAAATAACTCGAGTTTAAACTATCGGATGATAACAGACATTTATTAGTAATCGTATTTTGAGTTAGTTCATATAGGGTCATCATGTTTTGACATTCAATATTTATCAATTTCAAATTCAAGCATAGATAAACATAAAGTGTAAGATAATAATTAAAAGAAAACTTATCCACATTAAACTTTTAATATTTTTATTTTATGAAAAGTTGTTAAAGACTGTAAACATCATAATATATGTTTAATACTAAATAAGAAAGAAAAACATATTGATCGACCAAGAAAATCAATACTATCTTTTAAAAATTGTACTACACTACATTGTATGTTTTTCTACTTTCATGACAGTTAACAATTAGATATCTATATTATATAAGATAATAACTGATTTTCACCACAGGTAATTATTACTTGTAAATATATAAAATAAAATTCAAAACAATACTAAGTTATATAAACCTAAAATCTATATTATATAATTCAATAAACTTTAATTTATATAAGATATTGATATTATATGCTTATAGGAAATGAAGAATTTGAATTTTTAGCTCTGGTTGTAGTGTTCATTTTTGGACTTCTATAACACCTTTCATACCCCCGTCGCAGTGTGCACCTACATCACAGAAAAATCCGAGTACTGATGGTGTATTTTTAGTGATCACAAATGTACCCTTAGTACCAGCAACAGCAGTTTGTTTAATGATTTCTGTTTATTAAATAATGAGATTTCGTAAGTTTATATACTGATAAAGACAAAAATGGATATGAATAGTAGATATTTACCAGAATTTCTCAGTTTTGTAGGTGTCAGGTTCATCTGATAGAATAACGCTGTGAAAACCGTTGGTAACTGTGAATCTGACCTAAAGATTTAATAAGAGACATGATATTAAACTAACCATTACTTGCTCATTTACGAGAAAACTATCAAATACTTACCTTATCACCCACTTTTACAGTAACCTTTGCCGGCGAAAAAGAATTTCCATTCGGTCCAACCTTAATATTGTGTGTCCTGGCAGAAATAATAGTAGCCAAAGCCAAAGTGACCAAAAACAAAGCTAGAAACTTAACACTTAATTTAGCCATTTATTTTTATTTTTTTTTAAAAAAAACCCTATGTATGTATATAGAAGCAATGAATATTTCTCGAGATAAAATTTGGTTTTTATTTTATGTACCAGACTTTAGTGAATGAATGTCTGCAGTTTATTAATGAATAAAGTTTGTTATTTTTTTTTATTGATAGGAAGGAAATTGGGACGTCTATTTATATTGAATGCCAGATACATTTCACATTTAATTATTGAGTAGTTTAAAACTTTTAATTAATTAACAAAGTAAAATAAATAAATATATATACTACATTATTTTTTTTTTTACATTCCCGAATGTATTCATAACGGTGCTGATCACTTTATAGGCAATCATATCATAGACACGTTATTCATAATGGGTTAGTTTGTGAACACGTTTATTTGCAAACGCTTAATTTGACACAGTTCCCTGTAAATAAATGATCTCATTTCACCACAAAGTAATTATTATTATGATCATTCAGAATTATGATTTAAGGTTAATACGATTCATTTAAAAAATCATGTATGTGAAATAATAAATTAATATGAAAATGTCGGTTATGAAATAAACCATTTATGGAATGGAATTGCTTATCGACAAAATAATCTTATCTGTAAATTATCTGCAAATAGGCATAGTATCATTTGTATACATAATCCGTATCTGTTAATTGGCTTTAATAAAAAAAGGGTTTTGTAAATTTGAAGATTGAGCAAATTTCGCTAATAACATACAATGTTTGAAATGATCCATAAATGAACAGATCGACCAACTTACAATTTATGTCCATAGTGGAGAAATTGATCATAGTAATGGACCCTGGTCGAAAATATTTACGTAATTGTGCAAATGATACAAACCCAAAAAAAAAAAAAAGGAAAATAATAATCACTATATCCAGTTATTTTAATAAACGCTCGTTTTCTATGGAAATCGTCTGTAATGGCGTGAACACTTAACACTTTAGACATTTAAAAAGTTCTTGCCAAGAAGAGCAGGAAGAATGTTTTACAATTTATAGATAGACCATATTTAGTTTTAGCATGATAGTTTTTACTCTAAAATAATGCCGACATATACAAAGATATGCAGG